CCACCACAGCTGTGTGCCCTGTGAAGATGGTCTTGGCATCTACTATCTTCCCCTCCTTTGGAACAGCACTGATGTCCCATAGACAGATCGTCTAAAGTAGGGATGGAACGGTATGAAAATGTCTTATGATTATAGTGACCAAAATTATCACGATTATTAGTATTATCACGGCATTGTTAAAATGTGCTGGAAATGTTCAAAAAGCACTGGCACAAATCGTTTCACCAAGTTTTATATTTAAAATCAACAAACAACAAATAAAATGACTTTTTGTTTGCATGAACACTATGATTAATAAATGATTATATGTCTTTTATCTGCTCCATAAATAATTCTAGATAACTTATCCGAATTGTTTAAATGTGTAGAATCCAACTAAGCTTGTTTTTCATCAACCGGGCAAAATTTACAGCAGGGCATGCAAATTGGGTCCGTTTTTTGGCCAGAGAAAAACTGCACACAGGCTGAATGTAAATGTAACTTTCTGTAAATCCACTCTCTGACACTAGGTGGCGCTTCTAGATCAGCAGAATTACAGCTGTTTCCCGTAACCGCAGCATTGCGATTAAGAACACTACTTTATTAGGTATTACATGGAGCGAAGATGAAAACAAAATCACATAAAATCTTTTCTGAAGACAGTCAGAACCTTCAGATGTAGATTCATATAATTAATTAATTCATATATTCATTTGTATAATTCCCTTAGCACTCTTTTTTTGTTTTGTTACTGAAAACTGTGCTTTATGCTGGACAGTATATTTATCTATCCTCAGTTATTCAAATCGCGGTAATCGAATACGGTTATAGCGATAATTAAAATATGAAACGGTAATACTAACCGTGGGGAATTTTATCATGATTTATCGTCAAACCGGTAATCGTTACATCCCTAGTCTAAAGTTGAACAACAATGCATGATCTTACAACATACAAGTTTCAAGTACAAAGTCTTATTATTGCTAACTAAAAAAATAAATAAATGTATTACTTGATATAAAGTTAAATCAAATTTATATTTAATATTTTATTTCAGCTAGTTAACAAGGCAACATTTATTATTTTCAATTAGTTTATCTTATAGTATAATAACTAAAACGGAATAAAAAATAATAAAAAATACATAAACAACTAAAACTAAATGACAAAAAACATTAAAACGTAAATTAAATTATAAATATGTAAAAAGAAAAACCTAATAAAATCTAATTAAAAATATTAACAAAAACTATAATAAAATCTCAGTGATTCTAAAATAACACTGCTTTGAATAGAGATCACTCACATGGTCGTCCGATGCACTAAGCAAGTTTCCACTCAGGTTGGAGTTCCAGGACAAACCGTATCCCTCCTTCTGATGCCCCCGCAGTCTCAGGTCTGGATCACACTCTCCACTGGGGTCTGCAAATGGACAATTTACAATTATTATTCAAAGCGAGTGTCTTCGAGCATGATTTAATATAGGGCTGCAACAAATCTGATTATCAATTAATTGCATCTTTATGCTGTGTATGGAAAACAACCGCCAGCCATGTCACAGTTTTAAATGCATTACTATGGACAAAACGTATCTGAAAAATACCAGAGGCCTGAGAGTGAGCTTCTGTGTTGAATCTCCATTGAGCTTCAGACTTAGCTTTTGTTTTTATTTACTACTTTGAGCAGGCTTTAGAATATCATGTGTACATTTAAACCCTTTTACGCAATGTATGGCATAGTCCACATATATTCACTATATTTGTTTTCATAGCCTTCAATTGGCACATTTTTGGAGCACAACATTGTGCAGAAGTAGAATAATGGTTTACTTTTTAAATAAAATAGAGACTAAAATGTAAATTTTTTAAATAAAATTAATCAGACATAATCAGATTAATTCATTTTAAAAAATAATCGCTTGTTGCACAATTTACATGGCTTCTTTGGATAAACTGAAAAACACTGGGTTTCATTCACTAAGACTGTGTATGCATGAATTTTGGCCTAAAATCTCAGAATGTTTTCATGAACAATTCATTATTCACCAACAACTTTTCTCCTAAATTTACAACAACAAAAAAATGTAGGAACAAATGAAACCACATGTACATAATCACATTCTGTGGGTGGCCTAAGAATCGTGTTAAATATACTTAGATATTTCATCTTAAATATATTTCACCGTATAGTGATAAAAGCTGTTATAGTGCACACTAAGTGGTTACTCTGTATAAATACGCAGATACGTGCATGTACAGTTGGCTAATAAGAGTATAAAAGGTGTTTAATGTGTCTGAACTGGTTTTGAGGATGACAAACTTGCCATTGCTCAAGGATTTTGCATCTTTCAGACTAGAGAGCATCTTTAGAGTGTCATGTGTTTTTTGAGAGTGACGGAGAGCTGTAAAGGAAAGGTTGTGCAGAAAGCCTGCATAAGGAGATGGTTTGGGCTTGCTTTATGCAAACGAATAAGCTCGCGCACTTGGTCATTCAAATTCACTAACATTAGAACAAGGTTGAGAACCTTTTTATGTGGCAATTTCTTCTGTGCATAGAAGTACAAAATAATCCATATAATTTATTAGTGACTGAGACCCACTGACCTGGCTTGGATGGGTGTTTGGTGTAGTCAAACACCAGCACGTCAGAAGTGGGGGTCTTGGTGGCAATGATGCAGGGGTTTTGAGGCATGTATCTGGCTCTGTTCACTTCTCCTTCATGGTTGATCTTAATTTCAATCTCGATCTTTCCGCTCACCGACCCAAACCCTCCAAACTCTGGGAAAAGTACAACCATTAGTAATGTCCAATGTTTGATCTCTGTCCCAGTTCAACTTTATGAAATCATCAGTTTGTATCATTCAAAAAAATAAAAATAAAATAACACCGTTACATCTGGTTTCAAAGACATTCGTTAATCTTTAAAAACACAAAGCCATTTTTCATGAAACCTGAAAGACTCCACTCAAAATCCATTTCACCGAAATGTTAATAAATAATCCATATGAATTAAGATGTTTAATCCAAGTCTTCTGAGGAGACACAACTGTTTTATATGATGAACAAATATAATATAGGCTTTTATTCACATATAAACATTGATCAACGCCCATAAAGAACATCAAATAAGCTCAACTGTGCTTGCTTTTTGTTTACATGGATTACTTTTATTATGTGTCTATGAACTTTTTGAAGCTTAAAAAAATTGGATGCATGTTACTTTCAATGGAAGGACAGAAATCTTTCAGGTTTCAATGAAAATATATTCGTTTGTATTTTCAAAGCTTTGGAACGACACGATGGTGAGTAAATTGTGATTTTTTTTTTATTTCATGATTGTTTCATTTTTAACTGAACTATCCCTTTAACATCCATCTAAATATAGGCACAAACATGATCCAGTCCACATGCACAAGGCTGTCGAAAATGCATCATATTTGTGAAACGATTCCCTCTCATTCATCAAGTGAATCTGGGTTTCCCCCAACGTCCTAATCATACCTGCTGAAGAAACAAATACATAAAATCAACTTTAGTATAAAGGCCTCAAAGTGAACAAAATACTAAATTATCCGTTCAGCTCTTACCTCCTTTCTCACTGTCGTAGTGGGACGCGTCAAACTGAGCATCATCATTTGGGATCTGAACACTGGCGATAACCAAGTGGTTCTGCTCATCCGAAGTGTGTGTGCCCAACCCCAGCCGATGAACCACGTAGTCCTTTCCCTCAGGCCTGCACAATGATAGACAATAAATTGTAGAGTCCTAGTCATGTCTCGTGTGTTTCAGAAGATGGAAAGGCTAGTTATTGGATTACCTGTTCACATCAGGAAGCCACTGCACCGTCAAACTCGGCCACTCGAGTGCATGGGTCATGACTAGATCATACAAGAATGGTGTGTTTTTCTTCCAGATCTTGTATTCCTCATTTATTACTCTCTCCTCCACTGCATCGTCGTACACTAAGAATAGAAAACAGATGGTTAAATTCGGGCCAAATGCATCCAAATGAACACATTTCACAATAACTGCATTGCGGGAGCTCATTGAGCAGTAAAAAATTGTTGTATTCTCATATAAATGAGGAGAAACGGAAGTGTAACACGATCAAGTTCCTCAACTAGTAACGTTAGTTACAGCGCAACATATGAATGGAGGGAAGTCAAGAACAACAAAATTTCATTTTGCTTTGAGGAAACCATTATTCCAGTCAGTAGAATAATTTAATAACGCCAGTAACGTTAGCTTTAACCTAAGTGAACCGTCCGTATTTGGTCAAAACTGGCTCAGACTGTGACACTCATTCATTCTCATGTCAATATGTGGGTCAAATCCATTAGCACGTTAGGCTAAAGCTAACAAACTCTGCCAAAAAAATAAAAATACTGCACGAAATTCACTACGTAAAAACTTTACCTTCTTTGTCTGCCATTTTGGCGGGGTAGCCACTTAATGAACAATGGGGTTTACAGCCAAAAGGCAGAAAAAACAGCTTTGCAGTGTTTTACGCTCACGACTCTTGCCACACTAGCTCGCTCGCGCATCCCACAAAGCAAAGCACGCGACGCAACGCAACTGTCCGATTCACAATCGAGTCGTGCTTCTGAACCGACTCTTTTTATGAATCGGTCAAACTGATATGTCTCATATCTAATGAAAAGCAATACAAACTATGCAGCTGCTAAAAATATAGCCCCCCCCCTGTCAAGAATAATTATATGTACTCTTGTTTGTACAATTTGTTTGGGAAAAAAAAACCTAGATGACTTTGTTTAGCAGGAAAACTGTAATTTATAACTATTATCATCATCATCAACATAATTATTAATACAGGGAACAACAGTGAACAATTATGAAAGAATAATAAAGAACACAGTGAATGTTTCAGGTGAGCAGGTTTATTTAATAGTTTTACAGAGGAAGTAGTTCATTGAAACGAGCCGTCCAAATGAACCGATTCGCTAAAGTGAATGCTACTCTGAGCATGCGCATTCACAAGTTTAGCGTACGACAGTGAATGTGACGTCATCTTTGCGCGCGCGTTGTATGATTGGTGTGAAATGTGTTGCATTTATTAGGAGTTTTGACGTTATTGTCTACCGGCGAAATGTGTAAATAATGTTTTAAAATGACGGACAATAACTGTTGCTCGTTTCAGACGGACCCACCAGAAACTGCTTCTGTTGATCTCAGGTGTTGTATGATGGTGTTATTCTGTAGCTGTGTAGAAATCAATAAGCAAAAATAAAAATAAAATCTTTGCTATTTATTAATCACTCTTTATTTAATCTCTTTTTTAGTCAAAAACAACGACGAGCTATTCTTAAACGAGAAAGAAGGAAAAGGAAACGTCAAGCTATTGCTAAATTAAGAGAAGCAGGTAACTTATAATAACTTGTAATTTGATTATAGTTACACTGTATTTGCACAATTTACTTTATGTTATAATTTCCTTATATATATATATATATATATATATACACATACATACATATCTTTATGTATATCTGTATATATAGATGTCATATAAGATAATCGCATCTTTTTCAGCTCTAGATCATTCACAAAATGAGGAGCACCAAACTGAAGATGAGGAAGAACAGATGGCTGATGAGCAGAGGTTTGTCCTTTAAAGTTCAGTATGATAAGCTATTATCAATAGGACAAATTATTATTAACTGGACAAACTGCAAATTTGTTACACTGTTTTACAATCTAGTGAGCGATTACACCAGGAATGGCTGGAGAGAGAAAAGATTGCACAGGAAGAATTCAGGCTGAAGAGGGAGAGAGAAGAGGCGGCAGAAAAGAGAAAGGAGGAGGAAGAGGTGAGCAATCTGTGAAATTAAATACGTCACATTAAATCCGTGTCATTCTGCAATGACCGGGATGAATCTCAATTTAGGTATACATATAATGCTCCAATATCTGCTTTTCTGTGCTTTTGTAACCACAGAGGAGGATCAGAGAGGAATGGGAGGAGCAGCAAAGGAAAGAACAAGAGGAGCGGGAGCAGAAGGAGCAAAAGAAGAGAGAGAGAGAGGTGATCCCTGCACTGGGAGGATAAAGATGCAGATGTCTACATATATCCTCTATTGCTCTTACACCTTATACCAACATCAGATATCAAAACATCTCATGCTACCTGAGACAAATCAGCCTTTAAAGGCTTCCAGTTTGTCAGTCATGATTTTACATGCACGCCATGTGCCATAAGTCTATGTTTTATGTGTACAGTGTGTGATTTTGTTTGTTTAGCAGAATATTGCGTCTTCATTTCCTTAACTAAGATACACAAAAATGATTAATGCTGCAAGTGTCCACTTCCAATGAAGAACATGTATCTTTTCATGTCACTTGGGTGTATAGTGATAATGTTGCTTATTGATGCTACAATAGAGAACATAATTATTATGTGCAGTAAACCAGGGATTCTCAATCATTACTTTTAAAAGAATAATCACAATATTTTTTCTTCTATGTTTTAATTTTAACAGTAAACCCACGTTGTGCATCACTTTGCTTGCCAAAAATCAATTAGGAATTGGGAATTGTTAAATTTTCATTTGATTACATTTTAAAAGATTAATTTGTTAATGCCACAGTTTTTAATATCTTTATACTATATCACAAATCCAGAAATATTAAAATAGGCAATTGCATAAATAAAAATAAAAACATTTCATATTATTGTAATATTAAGTTGTTCAAATTCTATGAATTTATTAGATTAGACATGCTTTTGGATTATAAAAATTGAATTAAACCATTAAAATGGAAAAAAATTAAAATTTGAGAACAATAAAACAATAAATTTATTTAATCTTTATTTTTTGAGAAAAAAGTAAATTTCACAGGGCCCTCTATATACAATTTTTATTACATTTTCAGAAAATTGTTAAATTGTATACATTTATGTTTAATTTAACCATGCATGTGCTTAATGACTGTTATAATTATGAGGGTGTCCTAGGAAAATTTCTCGGCTGTAAGGCCCCAAAAATTTTGAGAAACCCTGCTGTAAAGATTTGAATTACAAAATACCAAAATACAAAATAAAAATAAGATTGTCTTAACCAATTTGAACAGACATGTGCTTGCACACCACAGAATTTCACCCGCCACACTGTGTATGTTTGCACCATTTATAGGAAGCTGTACAGAAAATGCTGGATCAAGCAGAGAGTCAGGTAACATCTTGCTTTCCATTTAAGTTGGAAAATACAGTTTGTTAAAATCATGAAAAGTCTCCTTTATTTTGTTGCATTTAGCTGGAAAATGGTGGTCCTTGGAAAAACCCTGATGCCCCAAAGGATTATGGAACAGAAAAGGACAAGGCAAACTGCCCCTTCTTCCTTAAAACGGGCGCTTGTAGGTTTAGGGACCGGTATGTATTTATTAAGCTGATGTTTTCAAGCAGTTTGGTTTTGACAGTCAAAATGAAATTTCTGGTCAGGTTTTAGATTTCAATGATGATTTTTTTTTGAACAGGTGCTCCCGAAAGCATGACCACCCAACATCCAGCACCACTCTGATGGTGAGGGGGATGTTTGTGACGTTCGGGATGGAGCAGAGCAGACGTGATGACTATGACACTGATGCCAGTCTTGAGTACAGCGAGGAGGAAATGCACCAGCAGTTCCTGGATTTCTATGAAGACGCTCTGCCAGAGTTCAAGAACGCAGGGAGGGTGGTGCAGTTCAAGGTAACTAAAATTAAAAACCTAAAAATCATCAACATAATAGAAACAATGAATTAAAATAAAATGTTTAATGTAATGTAATGTTTAAATCAGGGTTATTATTGTTAACTAAAAGTAAAACTAAAATGTTTGTAACTTGAAATAAAATAACTGAAATAAAATATATAAAATATAATATCTTTTAATCATATTTAGATATCTTGACTCCACAGCAAACAGAGCAATTTTGTCATTACTGTCCCAATACTTATGGAGGGCACTGTATAGAAGCCGTGGTTTACAGTAAATTTGTAACAGCTAAGGGGCGTTGTTAGGCATGACGCGAAGCATCTATAACTTCTATAACGTCTATAACTTGGCAAATGACCATGGAATAAGCGGAAATAATCAAGGGCTTGCCGTGCATTAAAGGATTTTAAATGCACTTTGCGTCGGGTGGTTCTTGGCCTCCACGTCGTGCATTTAAAATCCTTCTGGAAGACAACTGCAATGTGAATTCTCCCCAGTAACTAGATGGAAGACAGCCATATGTGGTAAGGAAAGCATTAGTCTAAATAACAAACTATATTTCTCAATCTTTATGTAGTAGAAGTTTCTTTATTCTATCACTATTTTTAGCCTTTCTTTGTATATATTGTATATACATGTATATTCTTTAAATACCCTTATATACTTGTTCTTATGTTTGCAGGACTTTTTGACAGGCGGAAATGTCCAAAAGGAAAACACTGCAACTTCCTCCATGTGTTCAGAAACCCAGATAATGAATTCTGGGAGGCGGACCGTGATCTTCATATGTCCCCTGATCGCAGTGGAGGCTTTTCTAGTCGCCATTTGGGCAGCAGAGATGGAGTGCGGTCCCAACGTGGAAATAGTCCTGAGCACATATCCCAGCGCAGGAGGACAGATCGAAGGAGCCACAGCCGCGAGCGGTACAGTTACAGGGGAAGATGGAGCCGGGAGAGGCGGGGTTGTAGCAGAGAGAGGCGGAGTCATAGCAGGGAAAGGCGGGGCCACAGCAGAGAGAGGCGGAGTCGCAGCAGAGGGAGACACAGTCGAAATGGGGAAAAGCGTAGTCATAGCAGAAGCAGAGAGAAAAGGAAGTCAGAGCAATCAATGACAAGGAGATCAATGTCTCAGAGAGAGCAATCCAGAAGGAGTAGGAGCCGATCCCATAGCAGAGACCGGTTAAAGCAATGTGAATGTACATCAACAGACTCGAGAAGACAGACGTCAAAATCAAACAGTCCAGAGCGTGTGTCCAAAAACAGGTCTGTGAAACGGGAGAGTCACAGGATGGAAAGCCAAAGCCCAGAAAACTCTTACCGAATGGATGCACATCACCACAAGCCCACTAAAAAGAGCAAGAAGAAGAAAAAGGGCAAAAATAAACACAAAAGAAAGAAGAGTAAATCACACAGCTCAAGCTCGGAGTCAGACAAAGACTCCCGGAATGAGGAGTGTGATGAGATGCCGGCTAAATCAGAAGAACGTACAGCTGTGGCATCCAGCACAGGTTCACCAGTAGATGGAGTAGAGACCACAAATTTGGAGGGCTGTCATCCAGAAGAGGAAATCCATTGTGCGTTTACAGATGCTACCAAATCCGATGGCATCACACAGTCTGGATAGATTATATTAGAATACATAAACTGTTTCTCTGTTGTCTTAAAGCAGCTGTTGTTATTTTAGTTTGCATAACAAAATGCCTAGTTTTCCTGATTTTGTCTGATGAAAACTTTTCCTGTATATTTGTAATGAAATCTAATCTTTTCTGAAAGTGTTGGTGATGGAAATTATATTTTGTTCATTTTCAGTGAGAGGTTCCAAGACATCACGTGGGTAAGCAGATTTTAGGGATCATTTTATTTAAGGTTGTGACAACGGACGTAAGCAGCAGATATTTAATTCCATATTGTGATGTTCATCAGAGTGAAACATTATCGACAAAGAAAAAATGTAGGGTGGGGGACGTGGTTCTGTCCTTCAGTTGTGGCTTGGATGGAGGCAGATCTGAATCTCCCATTCAGATCTGCCTCCATCCAATCCACAAGTTGTAGTTGACTCTAAAGGAGAGGAGCTTAAGCAGATGAAATTATTGGAGAGGTCATGCATTCATCACCAGAGAATATACTGTGTATATATATATATATATATATACACACACACACAGTATATCGTTTCTGTAGGGACCAGAAACTTTGGTTATCAACATTCTCCAAAATATCTTCATTTATGTTCAACACAAGAAAGAAATTCATACAGGTTTGGAACAAACAGAGCCTTCATTTTTGGGTGAACTATCCCTTTAAGATGCACTTATGAGGAATTTTCATTTTATGAGTATATGTATCAAATATTTTTATTAGTAAAAGATCATCAAGGATTTGCACAACATGCGGCAATATCTGACTTTATTCTTGTGTTTTCATGAAGCTTCAAAAGACATTTTCAAAAGGAAGTCAGAAAATCAAAGTCCAATACGACAGCATACGAAGATGATTTTAAGGAAAAGGCATGAGGGTGGTGGAGAAGATTCTTTGGCATTGGAAATAAAACAGTTGAATGGCTGATATGTCTGAACCAATTAAGGGTTTACGGGAACAAATCATTACAGTGTTTCTGGTCAAGACTTTACTAATACTGATCTTTACTTGTGCCTTAATACAATCCATGAATTTATGCCCAAAAATTCTGAATGCTGAGTTACATTATCTATCTCCCCCTTTGGAGCCGAGTAAGAACGTTTGGTCCGTAACACTTCAGCAAGGCTTGGTCTTGAACAGTGACAGCCCATTGACTCCGATCTACTGAGAGCTGCATGAGATACTGGCAACGGTGTGAGCTGGAAATTAGTGTTTTAAGGCAGCTGAAGGTGAGAGGTAATGCTTAAAATCTACAGATAAGACATTGTGTGGGGATGCTGACACTAAACTTTGCTACACATGTACTGATCCAAACAGCCGAACACTGGGAAATTTGCATAACTACTAAGATAGTGTCGCATCAACATTTCAACGTGCTTGATTCCCTCAGATGTTTGGCAGTAGAAATACAAGCGTCAATATATAACTGTTTATGCAGGAAGTACTGATCACTACTTTTGAGCTAACCTAAATACAAATGTAGAGAAAATGCCCACAGGAAAAAAAAAGGAAGATGTGTGTTAGTGTTTGGGTAGGATGAGTTCTCTTCATTTATGTCAGTCCAATCTCCTCCAGAACACTACGTGGTGTCTCTGCTTCCTGACAGAGGTAAGAACCAGAGAAAATTAATTCAACAACTTAGAAAAGGCCCAATTGTCACTTCATATACTAAAACAAACAAACATGCAATATGTGTGTTCCTCACCTCCTGCAGCATGTCAGCCTGCTCTATGGCCTTCAGAACGATCTTCTTCGATGTCTCCTGGGCTTCACCACCCAGTATGAACTCATCCAGGATGTAATAGGCTTTCTCAAAGTTGAAGATAATGTCCAGTTCACACACCTGGTGTTCAAACACAGGGCGTTTCACAATGAGTTATTGCTGTTAAACAGAGCAACAAATCTGGTCATCGGTTTAACACGATAACACAATAATGGTTAATCACGATTATTTTCAAAAATCAAAAGTTATTAAAGGGGTCCTATTATGCTTTTTTACAAATTCTTGATTTTGTTTTGGGGGTGTACTAGAACAGGCTCTCATACTAGGTTGTTCAAAAAACACACGATTTTTCACATATTTTACATTATTACAACACCTCTCTCCCCAGTCTGACATGAACGGCTCAAATAGTTCCCATATCAAATGAAAGCCCGCCTTCTGAAATACGAAATGTGCTGTGATTGGTTAGCTGGGCCAGTGTGTGCTGTGATTGGCAGCACTTGGCGCCGGGTCGGGAAATGTCACGCCCCTTACCATAGCCTCTTGCGACCTTCAGTGTAAATATTGCGTCAAAATCAAATCAATTTGAGCGCTATTTAAACCTGGATGATTGTAACCACTCTAAGTTCATCTGCCTTGGGAAAGCTAGCGTGTCTCTGACATAGTGATAACACTCGTCGCCTTCTCTAGTGCAGCTCAACCAGGTCTCTCTCGTCCCATTCATCGATATTTGTGATATCACAAATCCCGGAAAATATGCGTTGTAGTCCAAACGAGTCGTTCGTTGTAGTTTTTAAAAAGTGATTTCTGTTAAATAAAATATCTCTTTTTGAAGTGGACTTTGAACTTAGTAACTTTGCAGATCTTTTTTATGCTCAAACAGCAACATTACAGACTAACTAAAGTTGAAAAAGTGAAAAAGCATAATAGGACCCCCTAATTAAGGGGGCAATTAAATTAAATTAAATAAAAGGAGATATTTTATTTAACAGAAATCACTTTTCAAAAACTACAACGAACGACTCGTTTGGACTACAACGCATA